TGTGTCTCCAAAAAAAAAAAGAAAGCGGGGGGTGGGGATGGGGAAAGAGTAACTTTACAGTGGAGGAATCCGACAAAGGCTACTTCAACCAAATGATCAAAGTTAACCTCAACGGTGACAGTTCATGTTGTTACTATGTAACTTTGCTATGATGTGATAAAAATGGCACTTCAACTGTGTCTTCCTCCCCAAAACCCATAACCCCAATCTAATCATGAGAAAAACATTGGAACAATCCCAGTTGAGAGACACTCTGCAAAATACTTGACCACTACACCTCAGAACTGTCAAGGTCTTCAGAATCAAGGGAAAGTCTGCCACTCTGTCACAGCCAAGAGGAACCTAAGGAGATATGACACAGCACAATGTGGCATCCTGGAACAGAAAAGAAAAGGCAAGAAAATCTGAATAAAATTTGGGCTTTAGTTAATAATGATATATCAATATTAGTTCATTAATTGTGACAAATTTGCTATAGCAATGTGTTAACAGTAGGAAAAATTGGGTTTGGGATATATGGGGACTCTATACTATCTTTACAATTTTTCTATAAGTCTAAAACTATTCTAAATTAAAAGCTTATTTAAGAAAGAAGCGCCGGACATGGTGGCTCACACCTGTAATCCCAGCACTTTGGGAGGCCAAGGCTGGTGGATTATGACGTCAGGAGTTCAAAACCAGCCTGGCCAAGATGGCGAAACCCCGTCTCTACTAAAAATACAAAAATTAGCTGGGCGTGGTGATGGGTGCCTGTAATTTCAGCTACTCTGGAGGCTGAGGCGGGAGAATTGCTTGAACCCGGGAGACAGAGTTTGCAGTGAGCCGAGATGGCACCACTACTGCACTCCAGCCTGGCGACAGAACAAGACTCTGTCTCAAAAAAAAAAAGAAAAAGAAAAAGAAAAAAAAAGGAAGAAGCTGGCTGGGTGCGATGGCTCATGCCTGTAAGTAATCTCAACACCTTGGGAAGCCAAGGTGGGCAGATCCCTTGAGCTCAAGAGTTCAAGACCAGCCTGGGCAACATGGTGAAATCCCGTCTCTAAAATAATTTAAAAAATTAGCCAGGCATGGTGGTGCATGCCTGTAGTATCAGCTACTCAGAAGGCTGAAGTAGGAGGATTACCTGAGCCCACGGAAGTCGAGGCTGCAGTGAGCTATGACCACACAGAATGAGACCCTATCACAAAAAAAAAAAAGGGAAGGAAGGAAGGAAGGAAGAAAGAAAAAAAGCAAAAAGAGGCTGGGCGTGGTGGCTTCATGCATATAATCCCAGCACTTTGGGAGGCTGAGGCAGGTGGCTCACAAGGTCAGGAGTTTAAGACCAGTCTGGCCAACACGATGAAACCCCGTCTCTACTAAAAATACAAAAATTAGGCCGGGCGTGGTGGCTCATGCCTGTAATCCCAGCACTTTGGGAGGCCGAGATGGGTGGATCACCTGAGGTCAGGAGTTCAAGACCAGCCTGGCCAACATGGTGATACACCGTCTCAATTAAAAAAAAAAAAGTGAAAAAAAAATACAAAAATTAGCTGAGGGTGATGGTGCATGCCTGTAGTCCCAGCTACTTGGGAGGCTGAGGCAGGAGAATTGTTGAAGCCAGGAGGTGGAGGTTGCAGTGAGCCGTCAAGATCACGCCACTGCACTCCAGCCTGGTGACAGAGCAAGACTCCATCTCAAAGGAAAAAAAAAAGAATAAGAAATAAGCCAGTTACTTACTGGAGAATGACTGATTATGCCCAGATGAAGAATAGAACATTTCAAAGTTGGACTTTTCAGCCTATAAAAATAGGATTGGCTGTTAACATCAGTGGAGAGTAAAAGCACAAAGAATAAGAAATAGCTAATAGGGTGTGTGTGTGCGTGCACATGCACTGTCCTATTAACTAAGCAAGTACCCACAAAGCCAACTGTACACAGAAGTAGGGCAGCTGAACATCTGGGTGACAAAACTGCCCCCTCCCAAGTTCCCCTTCCACCCACTGAAGCTGAAGTCGAGAGGTCACTGTTAGGGGCCATTACCGCTCTCAGTTAAGATAGTGTTTCTCGGCCGGGCACGGTGGCTCACGCCTGTAATCCCAGCACTTTGGGAGGCCAAGGCGGGTGGATCACAAGGTCAAGAGATCGAGACCATCCTGGTCAACATGGTGAAACCCCGTCTCTACTAAAAATACAAAAATTAGGCCGGGCGTGGTGGCTCATGCCTGTATCCCAGCACTTTGGGAGGCCAAGGCGGGTGGATCACAAGGTCAAGAGATCGAGACCATCCTGGTCAACATGGTGAAACCCCGTCTCTACTAAAACTATAAAAAATTAGCTGGGCATGGTGGCGTGTGCCTGTAGTCCCAGCTACTCAGGAGGCTGAGGCAGGAAAATTGCTTGAACCCAGGAGGCGGAGGTTGCAGTGAGCCGAGATTGCGCCATTGCACTCCAGCCTGGGTAACGAGCGAAACTCCGTCTCCAAAAAAAAAAAAGATAGTGTTTCTCACACTTGAGTATAGAAATAGACTTCTTAAGAAAAGATATTCATGCTACCACAGATCCCTAAGACTATGCCTGGTGACCCAAGTTACAGAAATTAGGTTTAGAAACTAAAGTCTCAATCTAAGGAACGTCTTTCAGTTGTGAATTATCACTGCAAGAGTTGAATCTTTAGAATGGGTTAAATATTGTGTTTTATATGAAGGCTCACAATTTAAATATGTTCCTGTCACTTGCAGAACTCTGACAAAATCTTCTTGGATGCCCAGATAAGCAAGGATAGCATTGAGTGGTCAAACCCACAAGAAAGGAAATTAAGAAAAAGTGCATAATTGTGGGGAGTCCTAGGAGGACAGCTGGGCAGGAGGCCTAGGGGCCGCCAGCCCAGGAGGTAGTGGCTCTGGGAGGCAGGTCTTCAGGAAAAGAAGTGCAGCTGATAGTGATTTGATGCCTGGCCTATGAGGAAAATTGCATTTTGAGACATTTTGTTGATCATTTGCAACATTTGAGAAGAATTAGCAATAGGTGTATACCGAAAAAGAAGCAGTTATTAATTTCAGAAAAAAACATTGTGCGGAAGAAGAAAGGTAATCATACCGTACTGCCTGGCTCTGTGGTAAACAGTATTTCTATCATCATATTAATATAAAGATTGAAAGTTAATTTAACAAAAATTGTGATGCAATTATCTGAGGTGACTGAAAATGGAAAGATTCTGTTTTTTAAATTAAATTTTTTTTGAGACAGAGTCTTGCTTTGTCAACCAGGCTGGAGTGCAGTGGCACCATCTCAGCTCACTGCAACCTCTGCCTCCCCGGCTCAAGCAATTCTCCTGCCTCAGCCTCCTGAGTAGATGGGATAATAGGCGCCCACCACCGTGCTGGGCTAATTTTTGTGTTTTTAGTAGAGATGGGGTTTTGCCATGTTGGCCAGGCTGGACTTGAACTCCTAACCTTAAGTACCTTAAGTGATCTGCCTGCCTCGGCCCCCCAGAGAGCTGGGATTACAGGCATGAGCCACCATGCCTGGCCAAAAACTGGAAGATTCTAAAATTGCTAAATCGTTATGTAACATAATAGAAAGTCAATAATGTCTAAGATTAATAAATTAAGAAACAGCTTTAAAATAATGGAAAGTAGTTGCCTTTGGAGAGTAGGAATGGAAGTAGGGAAGGGTAGGTCAAAACTGTTTTTCATTATAATCCTTTTAGTACTATTAGACTTTTAAAAGTCTATATTACTTTGTCTGTATACTTTGATAATAAAAAGACACAGATAGTCTCCATCTGATTTCAAGTGGATTTGCTCAAATCTGAAGGCACTCATTGCATATGGTCTTCATGGTCTGCAATGTTTGGAATGAGAACATTGTCTTCCACCATTAGTGGCAATGATTCAGTGGTGAGATGTTGATAACTATCTGGCAATGGTTCTGAGTTCTCCCCACTAACCCAAATCCCATGAAATCATTAAAGACATACAAATGTAAGATAGGCTTTATTCAATTTCTCCCTAGGCCTTCTGCCAGATTCCCATCCTAGTTGTCTTGCCTGTTTTTTGTTTGAGATGGAGTCTTGCACGGTCACCCAGGCTGGAGTGCAGTGGCATGATCTTGGCTCACTGCAACCTCCATCTCCCTGATTCAAGTGATTCTCCTGCTTCAGTCTCCCGAGTAGCTGGGATAACAGGAGCCCACTACCATGCCCAGATAATTTTTGTATTTTCAGTAGAGATGGGGTTTCACCATGTTGGCCAGGCTGGTCTCAAACTCCTGACCTCAAGGGATCCGCCCCTGACCTCAAGTGATTGGCCTCCCAAAATGCTAGGATTACAGGTGTGAGCCACCATCCCTGGCTACCTTGCCTAATTTGAATGTCCTGGCATGCAAATTCATAGTTACACTCTGGACAGAAATGCTAGAACTACCAGAGTGAGAGTTTGACCAGGCTCACTCATGCTGTGGAGGTGTGCTGAAGCCCACACCAGCCTGGAAAGAATGGAATCCCTTATGCCCCATATGAGAGCATGGCTGTCCCTGACCTATTTGGGAGTCCTTGACAGGGGCCACAAGCCTTGCAACAAGGGCCTATTCTCCATTCAGCGTGGACTGCTATGCTGGCTCACCTCCCTAATGAGAATCTGTGTACTTATTATTTGCACAATGATTGATGAAGATTCTCTGCCTCTGTAATGCCAATTTCTATATAAACAGGTTTCTTTCCCTCCAAAGAAACATGTCTATAGTCTAAGCTGAAAGTTCTACATTAATTCCCTGAATTTTATGGATTAGGAGGGTGTTTTCTTATTTTCATACTCTACCCTCTAGAATCTTTACTACCCAGACAAATTTCAGAATGAATTTATAAGGAGACACCAATGGAGAGAAAACCTTTATTTGTGTAACAACAAACATGGATGAAGTAACAAGAGGCATATGAGAACCAGATTAAGGTGGAAGAATCTTGATGGGAGGAGAGGAGGAGAAAGGGTCCTCTGGAAATCCAGGAGGAAGAGCAGAGGCACTCTTGTAGCCATAAACACGTTTCCTTGTTGGCATCTGGACTGCTCCCTCCTCACGCTCCCCTGAGACTTCTCTTTTCTTGGCTCATAGTCTCACTGCTGGCCTGGCTTCCTTGTCTCACAGTCTCAGAGTGCTCCCTCCCCAAACCAGATGGAGGAGCACAGCTTCATACCCTATTGTGCAGGATAGCAGCTACTCAGAAGGTGTTACTTGGATTTTTTGCAGCTGTTAGTGATTCTGACACCTTTGGACTTCCAGGAGCGGCTCCTACTGCCACGAGAGGACTCTGGCTTTTCTAATAAGGAAGGTTCTGGCCAATCGGTCCAAGAAAGGCCTGGATTTTCTTCCAGGCTGTTGTCTCTGCAGAAATGCTCCTCAGGGTGGAAGGTGCTGCTGCAGCAAGGCATGTCCCCTGAGTTTTCAGGTATGTAGTCTGTGGTGAGAAAGGCAGGAGAGGAAAACTCAAGCCTCTGCTTCTCCCAGGCACAGGTCCTTAAGCCCCTCCCTAACCACTTTTCTTCCAAAGTCAAAGGCACCAACTATTAATCCCCCTCTGGTGACATGCCTTCCTCCTTTCCCAGGCACCACAAGTCCCTACAGCCTCCTCCCTGCTCTGAGGCCAGCTCATCCCTCCAGCCTCACCTGTGGCTGAAGCAGAAGGTGAACACTCCTCACACTCCCATGTCTTACTGTTGGATCTAAGAGAGGAGCAGTCCCTGTGGGTTCCGTGGGATCCACATGTAGCACACAGAATGAGGCACCACCTCCTACAGGAAAAGCCCAGGATGGGTTGTGGAGACATACAGAACACTAACTGCCATTCTTTGATATTTGCTATGGGCCAGGCATGTTTTACAGCACATTATACCCATGATGAACATACGGCACAGAAGATGGGTGCTGATCCCAGGAGCCTGCCATCAGTCATAGACCCTTGAAAGGTAGATTAGGAAAGGAATTGGCTCTGAGTGTCTCTCCACTGGGCACAAGGTGAAGCAGACCTTGCAGGGGAGACTTGTTCACTTGCACACAAGTGAGTCAGGGGCTGGCCAAGAATAGGATTTGGCAATTGTGTTTACCCTGAGTTCTGCATGCAAGAGTGAATTTCTTGCTGCTTATAACTGTGTCAAGATCTAACTCCAAGATAACACTGATGAGAGTTCTTTCTAGCCAGAAGCCTTCCCTTACCCTTCATCCTCAAAGCTGTCTCTGCCTTGTTCATACAGACAGATGGGGGCATCACAGTGCTGATAACGCTGATATAACTCTGAGAAAGCCCCTGGCTCAAGTTCCCAGGCAGCATCTCTGCAGTGGGAGAAGAAACAGTGAATAAGAACATGATGGGTTGGTGAAACTTTTGTCCATCAGGGAGGAGCTAGGAAGAACCCAAGTTAAGCACAGAAATTGTTCAGCAGGCCGCCTGAACACTTTCAACAAGGCTGGTCAAGTGGCCTGGCAGTGGGAGAGGGTTGAAGCAGGATGAATGGAACATGCATGCTGGTTCTTTAGTTCCACTCTGGAATTCAATAACTCAATCCCCTAGGGAATTCTGATTCTCCAAATGCCCTTTTTAACAATACCTCTGCCCAAACTTTTTTCCCCTCCCTTCTGTTTTGATAATTGAAAAGCATTCCCTCTTCCCCTTCCTTCTTCACTATCAGTGCCTCTGCTGCTCTCATTCTCTGCTATCCTCTCACCTCCTCTCTAGAAATCTAGGCAACCCACTCCCTGGCTCCATTTCTGCTTTGGGGTTCCCACTACCTGTCTGGAATATGAATTCCCATTCTCAGCATTTCTTGAGGAAACTCTTTTCGATTGTTACACTGTGGACATTTGAAGAAATGCTTTGCTGATGTGTGGGCATATTTCTGTAAGAGAAACAGGGAAGAGCTTTGTGCTTGTAAAAACCCTTTGACTACCTTCTTTCCCCTCCCACCCTCAGCCCCACAAAGAGGATGTTGCTAAGAGAGCTTGACCGAGGATATAGGAAAAGGAGTTTGGCTGGGCTAGGTTGAGGGCTGCAAATCCAGGTGTCAGACCTGGGACCAAAATACTTTCAAGAGAATTACCAGGAGTGCCTCAGCCATCATCTCTGGCCATGGGGCTCTGCAGTACTAAGTAGGGGTCAGGTACCTGGATACATGTTTCCCCTTTCTTTCTTTCTTTTTTTTTTTTTATTGAGACAGAGTCTCACTCTGTCACCAGCTGGAGTATAGCAGTGCGATCTTGGCTTGCTGCATCACTGCAACCTCCACCTCCCAGGTTCAAGTGATTCTCCTGCCTCAGCCTCCCGAGTAGCTGGGACTACAGGCACGTGCTACCATGCCCTGCTAATTTTTGTATTTATTTATTTATTTTTCTTTCTTTTTTTTTTTTTAAAGATGGGGTTTCACCATGATGGCCAGGCCGGTCTTGAACTCCTGACCTCAGGTGATCCACCCACCTCGGCCTCCCAAAGTGCTGGGATTACAGGCGTGAGCCACCGCACCTAGCCTTTTTTTTGAGAAGTCTTGCTCTGTCACCAGGCTGGAGTGCAGTGGCGTGATCTCAGCTCACTGCAACTTCTGCCTCCTGATTCAAGTGATTCTCCTGCTTCAGCCTCCTGAGTAGCTGGGACTATAGGCATGTGCCATCACGCCCAGCTAATTTTTGTATTTTTAGTAGAGAATGGGTTTCACCATGCTAACTAGGATGGTCTCAACCTCTTGACCTCGTGATCCGGCCCCCCCAACCCACCACCTTGGCCTCCCACAGTGCTGGGATTACAGGTATGAGCCACCGTGCCTGGCCGTTTCCCTTTTCTTTCGTCCCAGGAAGTGAGGCTGATGTGGAAGCTCCTCAGCTCATTCTGGGATAAGCCCATTTGCTCTAGCAATGCCAAGGATTTTGCTTAGTCTAAGTCTTATGAGTGAGGTCCTATAGGCCAGGGATGACCAGAGACTGGACTGACTTTTCTCTAACTACCTGAAGCCAGCCTTGCATACAGGCATCCAGCATGGAGTACCAAAGCTGACACACGCTTGAGGGTGTTCTGGTTCCGGGCAGAGAACAAGGGCAATCATGGAAGGACCTCAGGGCAGAAAAAGCCCTACCTGTATGCACTTGCGGTGGTAGATGGCTTGACTACAACACGGGCTCTGGATGTTCTCAATACTCTGTTGTGATAAGTCTTCACAACATAAGATGCAGCTTTCCTCCCCTACATTCCCCCCTTGGATGTTCTGTGTTGGGCGATGTTTTTCACAAAATGATCTGTGGCGGGTAAACAGACTTGGTTTCGGGGTTGTCATCGATACAGTTCCCCAATGGCTCACTCTAGGAGGGGCAGTCAGTCACCCAGGCTGGTGCCCAGTGAACCTCCATACTCATGAGGAGGAGGAGAAGCAGGGTGAAGAACAGCCACATGCCTTCTCAGGGCTGCTCTTCTACTGAGCAAAGCTCCCAGGGTTGTCTCCATAGCCTATAGTTCCTGAAAGCCCCACTTGGTGTAGAGCAGCTGTCTAAGAACTCCAGCTGTTTGTAATTTAAGGAGGGGGCAGGAAGCAAGAAGAAACCCCTGGGAAATCTCCAAGTCAAGGCACTGTTTCTCATTATTGAATGGAGGGACAGATTCACTGGTCAATCAAAACAGGCCTGCTTGTGAGAACTGGACTCTGATTTCACTAATGGCTGAATAGTAAGTTGCAAAATGGAAGCCGGACTTTTCCCCTTCCCCACTCACTTGTACTCTCCAAAAAATTGTGAAAGGCAACCCCTTTCTTGGCCACAAGGCAGATGGAAGTTTCTGATGCACTGATCCTTCTGGCAGTTGATAGCAGCTCCCTTTTTCTTGCACACAAAGCAGATCTGCAAATGAGATCCCAGACAGTGCTCAGGACCCCAAGAAAGGCAAAGAGACACAGTGTGGCACATCTTTCTATTAAATGGGAGTTATGTGAAATAGCCATTCCCTTTCCTCAGTGGTGCTGAATGCTCTGGGGCACTCGGAAGCTGAGCTTCAAGCAGCACTGAGTTCTTTCCTGTTTTCTCAAGATGTTTCTCCCTCTTCTCACTTAGGACATCATACCCCAGAGAAATATGGGACTTAAGAACTAGTTGAAAATCTAAGAGCCCTTTGACTTCTAAACTAGGAAGTAGGGAAAAGAATGGAAACAGGAATGATGGGTGAGGTATGAAAGGAGGCCTACCCCAAGGTCCTCACTTCAAGGGATTCTAACCTTCCTAGAAGCCCGGGCTACCTCCTTTTTGATGTCTTCAGGAAGGAATCCATGGAAACCTCTGTTGGACTGGCCCCTCTGAGGCAGCTTACTAGATAAGATCTGGAGGCAGTAGGTAACATCGGTGATCAGTGAAAGAATGCAATGAGGTAAAAAGGACAGGGTAAGAGAGCTAAATAGCGCTTGGTGGAATATATACGCATTGATTGATAGGGTAACTTATTTAACGAAGGCTTATATAGCACTAACCATGTGTTGAGTACTCTGAGTGCTTTCTAATATTAATTCATTGAATCCCCTAACAGCCCTTGGTTGTAGGTACTCTATTACTGTTCTCATTTTATAGGGGAGATGATGCGACTTGCTCAAGGACACAGAATTCTGGAACCTGGACTCTTACTTTTGCTCAAGGCTGCCTCTGATTTACTGAGGGCTGCTATGGTGTGCTGGCACTTTGGGGGAAACACTGCCTTTGTATGTACTCATTTTATGCTTAAAATCCTTGGCCAGGCACAGTGGCTCACGCCTGTAATCCTAGCACTTTGGGAGTCTGAGGCGGGCAGACCATCTGAGGTCAGGAGTTCAAGACAAGCCTGACCAACATGGTGAAACCCTGTCTCTACTAAAAATACAAAAATTAGCTGGGCATGGTGACGGGTGCCTGTAATCCCAGCTACTCGGGAGGCTGAGGCAGGAGAATCACTTGAACCAGGGAGGTGGAGGTTGTACTGAGCAGCGATTGCGCCACTACACTACAGCCTGGGTGACAGAGCGAGAGTATCTAAAAAAAAAAAAATCCTGTATGCAGATGCTACAGGACTTTAGGAAATATAAGTGATTTGATTTCTTTATACTTTTAAGTATTATTCATGTTTTCTGCAATAGGCATGTATTGATTCTACGAACAAAAATCAATAGTGAAGGATCAGAAACAATCTAAATGTCCTTGAAGAGGGACTTGTTTTCATACTTTTTGGCATACCTATACCATGAAATACCAATTAGCTATTAAAAAGAAAACACTAAACCTCTATGTTCTATACAGAAAGATCTCCAAAATATATATGATGGGAAAAAATCAAGATACAAAGCACTCTGTATAATTTTTTATGTAAAAAATGTATACGCTTGTAAATACATCGAAATTATAACTAAGCCCTGACACCTGATAGGACTTACGAGAAAAGAAAATCACAGACCAATCTTTCTCATGAGCATAGATATAAAAATCAAACAAAACAGATGCAAACTGAATCCAGCACTGTATAAAAAGGACAATACATCATGACCAAGTAGGGTTTATACCAAGAATGCAAGATTAGTTTAACATTAGAGAATCTGGTTGATGTAACAAACTACATTAAAGAGAAAAATCAAAATAATCTCAACAGATACAGGAAAGGTGATGAAATTCAATACCCATTCATGATACTCTGGGCAAACTATATAGTAATAAAAGATCTTCAACCTGATAAAAACATCTATGAAAAAAACCTACAGCTAACATACTTTAATAGTGAAAAACTAGATGCTGTCCCCTGATGTTAGGAATAAGATAAGGATAACAACTCACACCACTTCTAATTAATGTTAGGTCGAAGGGTCCTAGCCAATACAGCAAGGTAAGAAGAAATAAAAAGCAAAGATTGAGAGGAAGAAGTAGAACTGTCTTTATTCACACATGACATGGTTATGTGCATAGGGAAATCCTGTGTACACAAGGCATTCACAACAAAATAAAAACAAAAACAACTAATCAAACTGATTTTAACAAGATTACAGGATACAAATCAATATACAAAAATAAAATGCATTTCTATATACCAGCAATAAACTTAAAAATGAAATAAAAATACTATTTACAATAGCATAACCACAAAATATTTTGTAATACATTTAACAAAAGATGTACAAGACTTCTTCACTGAAACTACAAAACATGGCTGAGATATATTTTAAAAGACCCAAATAAATGAAGAAATATACCATGTCCATGGATTGGAAGGTTCAATATTATTTGTCAATTCTTCCAAAAATTGACCTATAAATTTACTGCAATACCAATCACAATCCCAGCAGACTTTTTTTTAAAGGAAAATTGACAAGTTTAATATAAACTTTATAAAGGCAGGACCTGATAGTCAAAACAATCTTGGAAAAGATTGCAGAACTTAACAATGCTTAATTTCAGGACACTATAAAGCCACAATAATCAAGACAGTAGGGATTAAATATAAATAGATCATCCACATCCACAGATATATGATCAATTGATTTAGACAAAGGTAATTCTATGGGTAGGCAAAGATTTCTTGTGACAACCAAACAGCACTGACCATAAAAGAAAAAATGGATAAACTGGGCTTCATTAAAATTACAAACTTGTTCTTTGAAATACACCATTAAGAAAATGAAAATGCATCAGATGTCAAGTGGATATTAAAAAAAAAAAAATTGGCCGGGCGCGGTGGCTCAAGCCTGTAATCCCAGCACTTTGGGAGGCCGAGGCGGGTGGATCACGAGGTCAAGAGATCGAGACCATCCTGGTCAACATGGTGAAACC